CTGTTCTGGTTTCCTTTCTTCTGACTTCTACCTCTCTGCTCAAAACTTAGAGCTGAACCTAAACCTTCTGATTCGGATGATTTTCTTCTAACCTCCTCGGATAGAATCATGCTAACCACCTCACTCAGCTTCAACTTCTCCTTCCCCGCCGAATTGCTGATTACCGTCACACAACCTGCCCAACTATCCGGCAACTGCGATAGTAACAATAGGGCCTGCACTTCGTCATCAAACGTGATGTCTACTGAGATAAACTGATCAACAATCGTGTTGAACTCGCTGAGATGCATTGTGAAGGATCGTCCTTCTGCCATCTTGGGGTTGAAAAGAGACTTGACGAGATGCACCTTGTTTGCTGTCGACGGTTGCTCGTACATCTTCACGAGCGCTTCCATAAATCCCACCGTCGTCTTCTCCTTCAAGATATTGTGGGCTAGTGATTTGGCGAGCGACAACTGGATTTGCCCTAGAGCCTTCCTGTCCAGTATCTCCCAATCACCATCTGACTCCTCCTTCTTCTTTCCCTTTTCCTTGCCTATCAATGGGCGATACATGTCCTTCTGGTACAGATAGTCCTCCATCTGTGACTTCCAGTAGGCGAAATCTGATCCGTCGAACTTCTCGATCTTTGATTTGTTTTCCTCTGCCATGACTTTCACACAAATTGCTGAACGAAGCTCTGATACCAGTTGTTGGGGAATCCGAAGCAATCAATCGGATCATTGCCCTTTCGGACCTTGTGTTGAAAGTAGGAAAGTAGGAAAATACCAAAAATAAATATCTAACCTTGCAAAAATAGTAAAGGGGACGAACACACAGATTTAACGAGGTTCGGCAACGTGCCTACGTCCTCGGGAGCCACACCACACAATTCTTTTATTAATTGAAGAAGAAATACAAGCTCTCAAACTAGGGTTTAATCTCTCTGAGATTCTCTCTCTCTTTTCAGTCAAAAAACTCTCTTTTTTCGTGTCTTACAAACCCTAAAAACGTTTGGGGTATATATAGAGTCCTGGTAGAAACAGAATCCAAAACAGTTTAGGAAACTATTTGACTGCGTCGCGGTCGGCCGCGGCGGGGGGCCGCGCAAATTCCAGAGAGTTGAGCGGTCGACCGCGGTGGTCGACCGCGATCAGACGACAGAAGCTCCTCAGATTCCAGAGAGTTGAGCGGTCGACCGCGATCAGACCCAGTCTCTTCTCAGCCTTGTGCATGTTCGCGGTCGCCCGCCGCGGTCGACCGTGGATCTGTCAGGTCGTTTTCTTCGTCGTTTTGATTTCAGCTCTCGTCTCAACTTTGGGTCGACACTTTAGACTAACAGTTAAAGTATCATAGTTTGTTTTCTAACAATTGTTAACGGTACAAGTGTTGGGCTTTGATAAAATTTTTGGATAAGGATTTCTGGATTAGGCCGCTGATTAATTGTCATATCACCATAGGTTTCAGCTGAAATCTCTGTAGCAATTGTTGATTCTATTATTTGTCTGGAAGGACAACGGAATATAAAAGAGACTTAAGAGAAGTGGTGAGTTCCAGTTTTCAGCCAACAGGAGCAAATTAAGCTGAGGATCAAACAGTCGCATTAAAAAGAAAAAGGAGAGAAGCACGATGACAGCAAGAGACAAAAATCCTAGAGTAAACAGTAGTATTTTGCACGATCGATATGGATGTGGTGGCGGCAAATAAATTGAATCGTCTTTCAAAATATCGACCAGAACCAGGGTCATCCTCAAAATCATACAGCAATTAATCCGATGAAGTTGCTAATATATGATTATATTGAACGAGTGCAAAGCATAAAGGAGACCATAGGCCTGGGCGTACTAAACTGCTGAGAACAACAAATGCAGACTTTGGACCCTCAATTTGTTATGTACATCGTGAATTATTCTCATTCTCTTTTCTCACTGAACGATCATATGTTTATTGGTAAGTGCTATGATTGAGAAATTGATCTCCCAAGGACTAAATTGTTGTCAGAAAAAGTGAAAGAGTTTTGGAGGGACTACTTTAATTAATTCAGAGTCAACTGTAAGGAGTAAAATCGTTAAAATGCATAGGAGGCTTGTTTCTCAGCATAGGAGTCTCATATCTCAATAAAAAAGGTAGTTCGGCACATGAAGCTCTTGCGACCGAGTAAAATCGTTAGAATGTGATTATTTACCATATCACGGATGGTTAGAGGATTAATTTGGGAATTTTAGTTATTGTTGTCTATAGTGTTAACCATCGCAATTGCAGAGATTATTTTGATAGGATCCCTATTCCTGCTAAGCTGGCTCCGGGAAATGATCGGACGACTTTGGATCTACTACATATGCAGTCTTACATTGCAGCATCAATTCTCAATAATTGCTTGATAATTGTGAGCTCTTTATAGTACTGGAGTGACCAGGCTTGTATCTTTGTTGCACTTGAGCTGGTCCAAACTGACCCAACCCCATCTAAAGTGGCCAAACTGGACCAAATACAGTTGAGCAAGGACTTATCACGAAACAGCCAAAGGGCCAAGGCGTCCAGGAGCCATCAATATGAGCTGAAGCTTGTCCAGATTGAACTCCACATTCGAGATATCTACATCTGACATCTCACAAATTGTAGCTGACATCTTGATAAGGTGAGAGGGGCACATTTCGGAACCTTGCAATTTACAATTATTATTTTTCCTTAAAAAATATAGTGAATATCTTTTATTGTTTAGGACGTGGGTTTTTTTATATGATTTTTATTGGTTTAGAAGTAGAATTTCAAGAATCGAACCATGATAACAATTGCATAGATGATTACCTAAAATAGTATATTTTTAACTTAATGATTTACGTACGTTCAGTTGGTGGCATCCCACAATGACTAATATTATTGTTAAACAAAGACATGCCTTACAAAGAAAACTTGTAAAACTATATTTGAAACAGAAGATTTGATGCTTGAGAAAAGCATTGGAAGAAATCGTAGCTTTTATCCGATAAATTACATATAAATTTATAGCCGATTCTAGGGTCAATGTGACAACCACAATAAATCAGATTAATGAGATAAATTTTGATTAGAGTTCATGTTTTAATTTAGTCCGCGATTGCCCAAATCTAGTTGTAACTTGGCATGATTTTGGCCAATAAGATGTCTTGAACCAATCGGGAGGTGTTGGCCCGTAATAAAATAGATTATGTACTCTGGTCTAAAAAATATTGAGAGAGAGAGAGAGAGAGAATAATAATAATATCTAGCTAAATTGAATCCAACTCAAACTTGAATTAAATAGTTAAACATTAGTATTAACTTAAAGATCTATACCCGTTTTTATTTATCGAGGCCAAGTATACCTAGACTCCACTAATTTGGTTTAATTAGTTTACAAATTGGCAGACTGAACCCTGGATTCAAAGTCGTTGAACCCGAAGCGTTAACGCCAAACTCACGTAAGGGATGACATTTTCACATCAACCATATACAATACTAATGTATTGTTGGCATGAAAATTGAAGTGTTAAACTAAAAAGGAAAAATTGATAACAACGCTATCATTTAATCTAGTACCAAATAAATATTTGTGTTCCTTTTCAACCATAAGAATTAGTTAGGATTAAAATATTCTCTCTCTTTCAGTCTATTGATAGAAGCCTAAAATTTGCAAGATATACTACGTGATGTCACCCTCTCACCTTCGACTGCTGTTTTCATTTAAACAAAAACAAGCTTCCACGCTTTCCATTCCAAGCTTACGCTGAAACAAACACCCACTGGCGCAAGAGAGCCAGGACTTGGGTCAAAAAACTTCAGAATTTGAACACAGCTGCATGTGATGTGACAACCAATTACAGGTTTGCAGAATGCGTCATATCTCAGCCTTTAACCGCCGAAACATAACCATGACGGCCGACCACAGACTGTTCCCTAAAACCGCGGCGGCCGAGCCAAAAAAAAACTACCGCAACACTAACACAGAGATACAAGCTAAGTGGTCTCCACTTAGTTGACTCTTTGATTAGCATAAGTTATTCATGTCGCTGTCTAGGAGATCATTATTCAATGTGAAGTATATACTTCCATACATACTATAATTTCCATGAAAATGATGCTAAATACCACTATTTAGGGTGGAGACGACCCCATCAAGAACAGAATGAGACTCCAATAAGTTCGTGTGGCGGGTGGAAGAAAATTATACGGACAAAATCAGGGCAAGAGCTACGACAACAACTTCATACCGAAACATGAGTTGGCAGCTGAGAACTAATCAACTAATTAATGGAAGCCAAATCACCGACTGGAATAACTGCCGCGGCTCTTTTCTCTTCGGGCTGGGCCCACTATTGATAAATCGATAGAATGAGTTGGCAGCTGAGAACTCATTTTCTTCAAATAAACATGTACTGTGTAAGTATGGAGCCCATTAACAATCATGGTCATCCAAGGACAAGTTTAAGCTGATCGCCAGAGAAAATTTGAAATTCTAATTGATCTCGGTGAAGCATCAGGGTGAATTCAGAGGGATCTTCAATACGTGATTAACGAAGAGCATAGAATCTCAATTGGTGGTTATCAGCATACACGAAAGCCCTCCTCATCAAAAATTCATAAAATTGTGATAAAAGTTGAGAGTTATAGTTTTATATTTTTAGCGCCCGAAAGCTAAAAGTTAGTCATCAGTAACGACGCATCATTTGATAAATGTGTTGAATTATTATCACTTCACAAATATTTGAAAGATGCATTGATCGATCCTTATTCAACTGGAATGCAATATTTAACTAGAGCATCTTGAAGCCGAAAGCTTAGTAAAACATCTTGGAAGTTTTGAATCTTCTTCCGCTATTTGAAGCTTTTGAATTCATGGAATTTGATGTAATTGACACCAAATTACTTGTGTTCAAATATTACGTGGCAAACTGTAAATCTAGGATAGCAGACATCATCCAAGAAAATTTATGCAATCAGTAAAGACTAAACATCAATTATAAAGAATTTCTTGCAATATTTATCAAGCTATTTATCAAAAAATAAATATGAAAACAGCACACAAAATTGCTGACCATTTTGAATCAGTATAATGAACCTATCTCTGCTCGTCACTTTCATAACAACAGGAAAAGAAATACTACGAATATAAAGGAAACAATGAAAGAATGATTCAAATACAAAACGAAGAAAAGTAACATCTATTGACATTATGAGGACACATTATGAACCGGAAATCAGGGGAATGTAGAATTATATGATTTTATTTCCTACACAACAATTACAAAAGAATATGTCATATACCTCAGATGAATTTATTCGTTGGACCACTGAAATTCAATTTCCAAATTTCTAGACGGTCCGCTTTTGCTTTCAGGCAGTAGAGTATACTCTCCAGAGACCGATCCTAACATAACCACTCGATCAATCTGAATGGTTACTTTCCCGAATGAGCTCTGCATTTTCAACCAAGAAAAGTTGAGCAAAAATCCATAAAAGGGAACACATTAAAAAGAGAGTTTTTTTTAAACCATGCTCTTGTGCATTACCTTGCCGATTTTACTCTTATTCTTGCAAGTTATGTGCAGCTTCTGGCCTTTAGGAGGACTGTCAAGTGCCCATGCAAAAGCTTCATCCCATTCAGGTGAAGGGCCCGTTGAGACAACCTGAAGACAAAGTGGTGATAACAAATATATAAGATTTGTCGCAATACCTGAATGCATCAAGAAAGAGGGCAAAATGACAGAGCAGTTAAAGCAAATCTATACTATATATTGAAGTAACAACCACTATTTTTTTTCTCGAAACATGCGCTATATCCTTAATTCTCTCATGCTATTATATGTTCTTTTATTTTATTCATTTTCTTCTCTCTTTTTATATACTTTTCATCGTGCTATTAAATATGCTTTTATTTTGTCTTTTTCATCTCTCTTTTTTTAAAACTTTTTCATAGTTTTTTGTTACTTATCTGTTTAATAATTTGTGGGTATTTGATTAATTAATTTTTTTACTACTTGCTTAATAATAATGTACTTTTTTTTGGTGCAAGTTATCGGATTACTCAATTTGCAGACATTGGTTCTTCATTTGTAGAATTTGTAAAGAAACAGCATGCAGATGCAATACGATGAATACAACATTGAAATACCAAGTCTCGTGCACGTCTATGCACTGAAATGAACAGTGGAAAAATACTGCACGCACATCTATTTTGCATGATATACCATCACAGATTATATAACATCTTGAAACCAAGTGTAGTAGCTTAAGGAAAATCATGCGATGGTATGCCATTATTTTCAGTAAGTTCAGTCAATGATTTGCAAAACCATGCAAGCAGAGGATGAGGAAACTTCGATAGGCTGATTAGCTATTAATCTAAATGTCATTTCTTCCTGTTTAGTGTAAACATGTATTATGTGATGCATATGTCTGAGCGTGTGATGGGATTTGTAATTATAATAACACATCATGTATGTCTTCCTAAGAAGCAAACAATTGGCTCCACCTTCCCAAACCCAAAAAAGAGCCAAATGAAAAACGTAACCTACTCAAACCAAACAAGCAGGTTTTAGTCCACTGAACAAAAAAAAAAACTCAAAATATAGGATTCAGGTTTGGGAATCTATTCGTTGTAAACAAGAGCACAAAAAATATAAGATGACATGATGAATTATCCCAAACAAAATGTCCCCAAATGAAATTCCCAACTGAAAATATAACCAAACAAGCAGGTTTTAGTCCACTGAACAAAACCCCAAAAAAAACTCAAAATATAGGATTCAGGTTTGGGAATCTATTCATTGTAAACAAGAACACAAAATAAAAGATGACATGATGAATTATCCCAAACAAAATGTCCCCAAATGAAAATCCCAACTGAAAATATCCCCAAACAATCTGTCAAATGTGATCTATGCACATTACTACTTAGCCCCTATCTCAATATAAGAAAGAAATGTTGGATTTCTTCCTTGTAAACTAGAACACAAAAAAGTTAAGATGAATTGATGAATTTGACATGCCTAAGAAGAATTGAAGATTTTCACAGACAATTTTAACACTCAAGATGAAGATCAACCAGCAACTTACCTTAGTTTGTCTAGGTGAAGTATTTCCCAGAGTGATCTTGCAGTATGCACTAGGGTTTCCCACTGATTGTCTCAAATTATTACCACGCTTTATAGTTATCGTCAGCGTCCCAGGCAAACATTGCAGAAGGAATTCAGCTTTCTCTTGAAAGCGAGGTGGGCCAGACTGAATCAAATATTGTAGTAGAGGGATAGCCTCTGATGCGAGAAGAAAAAGTGAATCCAGTGCTGCTTCTTGAGTTGCCTCGGAACCAGCCCTAAGAGATGTGACGAGATGAGGAATGATTAATGTAGCAGGCTCTGTGGCTCTCAAACGAGGGAAATTGCTAAATAATGCATTTAGTGCTTTCAAGTATTCCTCATTAACACTCTCACTGATGCAGATGTCCTTCTCAATGGCAGCTACAGAGGTCCCCAATAAAAAATTAAAAAATCAGATATTGAATGTACTATCAAATGGATCATAACAATCTTTTTAACGGAAAATAAAATGGCAAGGGGAAGTAATAGATTTTTCCAACACTGTTTTTAAAAGGACACGTATTACTCTTCTCTTTTGATGAGAATGGACATCAAGATATTCTCTCCTGAGTTTTAGAGTAATTGTTCCTCCAATAGCAAAATGTAAAAGCTTAAAAGTTGCTGAGAAGGAAAATTTTGCATTTATTATTGCTTAAATTATGAATCCTCTAAGAAAACAGATCCAAAGCATGTGAGTGATGGATATTCCTTATTGAGAAGGAAATCTAGCAGACATTTGTAATCCATAGAGAACTATAAAGATTACAGACATACTACATGTGACATTGTCACTTTTAAGGCACAGCTCTTACAGTCTTAGCACCAAAATGCTAGTTTCTCATATAAATGGTGTTAGAACCTTACATGCTCTCACTCAATATCCAATATCATTTGGAACTTGTCTACAATAAAATCCGATGCATGGTCTTTATCGCATGAACATGAACATTTGCATTGTGAAACGCATACGATTGGCCATCCATATATGAGCATGTATTTCTCATCAGTCTAAAAGTTGAAGTTTAGTGGTATTCATTAGAATTTAGAAGAAATAACTAAGTTAATTGTTTGAGTTCTCTTTTCTATTATAATCAAGCATATCCTATTCAGTAATGTACAGCATGCATTAAATTTTTGAACAGTGTTGAACAGAAGTCAATTGGAAAATGATAAGCTAGAATTTCCTACAGCTGCTGAAGAAATAGAAGATAGGGTTGATTTCTTCACACAGCAGAAACACATAAAATATAATGTAATATAATAAATATCCTGAGCTTTGAATAGTCAATATACAAAAGCTCCCCTAAAAGTCCCTGATAGATATGTATCTCCATTAAAGTGTTACTAGGTATGTTGCAGCTAGAGAAAACTTCTACAAAGAACACAGCAGGACAAAAAATGGATGAGTAAGTGGGGGGGGAAAAGGTCTGAATAGTTGGAAATTACCAGTAATAGCTCTCACTGTTTCGCTAGAAGCATACTCTTGGATCGTGTGATTAGAAAATAGTAGTTTAACAAACATCGCTGCTTGAACAGATGTGTCTGGTTCACTAGAGTTTATAAGATCCAGCACAACCTGAACACCACCAGCTTCTGCAACAGCTCTTTTATTTGTTCGGCTGTACATTACAAGGTTTTGCAGTGCACATAAAGCTACAACTTTCATTTCTTCTGTTGGTTGATCCTCAAGGAGATTTACCAGAGCTCGACATGCTGAAGCAGCATCAGGAGATCGAGCAAGTCCTTCATTCTGGAAAAGATCTCCAAGAGCAAGAGCTGAGAGCAACCTTCCCTGTTGAGATTGTGTTTGTGGATCTAGAAGGTATAAAGATAGCGGAGAAATGGCAGCTTTAGCGGCTTTTGTTTCCCTTATCTTCACGTTGTTCAGCAGTGTCTCAAGCAGTCTTGCTGCAGTTTCCTCAGACTGATGACTTCGCAGAAGGTCCAAAAGTGCCTCTACAGCACCACTTTCGACCATTGCTTCTGCACTGGTTGAATCATCAGTTTCCAACACGAGTAGAGCATTCAATGCGCCAATGACTGTACTCTCCATTCCAGAATGAAGTAACTGTACCAATACAGCAACAGGCACTTCCAAGTAAAACTCAGAACTGTACTGCAGAATGCTGCATAAAATGGATGCAGCAGCTTCCCATGTAACATGAGGTAACGAGGGCTCGGATTGCAGTAACAATTTGGATAACTCGTAAACACCACCTTCTTTTGCAATTGCATTTGGCCAAGCTAGTGCAAGATTAAAAAGAGCTTTAATAGCTATTTGTTGTAAGATATTGACACCTGACCCCAGAACTTGAATGAGAGGACCAACTGCTTGTTCTGTTATAGTCGCCCTTTGAAGAGATTCTTCCAGAAGAAGGTGATATAATAGTTCTGTAGCCAATTGCTGAACTCCTCGATACGGTGAGCTCAGTAAAGCTGTAACAGGTTCAACGGTCTGCTGAGGTGTCAGGCCACATTCAGCACGGCATTCAGGATGCTCCAAAACATTAACAAGAACCTGCAACGCACATTGCTGTCCACAAGAACCAAGTTCAGGTCTAGACAGCAGAAGAAAAAGAGGCTCAACAATTTTGGCTGCTGATGGACCCTTAGCGATGCTAACATTATTGGTCAGTGATTGTAGTAACTCTGCAAATGCTGTGCAGAGAAAATCAGGAGCTTCGTGGAGGATATTGAGAATACTTTCAATCACTCCAGCTTTCACCATTTCCAATTTACAAGCTGGCCTATCCTTACCTAACTTCACCAACACTCTAGAGATTATCTCATGAAGTGGGTAACTTTTACCAAACAAAAGACCAACTAGAGGAACAAGGGCACCATGTGCATACACCAACTCTATTAATTGATCATCACCTAGCAGGTTATCCAATGCTCGGACAACAGAATGCTGAGCAGGGCTAAACTCCATAAGCAACAGACATACCAGAGGCTCCACGCAGTGAGCAGCAGCCACTGTAGAGCGAATTCTTGTATTTACAAACAGAACACTGCACAATTCTGCAGCATCTCCCTTCAACTCCACTGAGCAGTTGGAAGAAAGAATCCGACAAAGAACACCAACTGCATTTATTTCAATATCTCCAATCGAAAGTGCTTTGGATGGATTATCACGTAAGATCCTCACAAGTGCCGACATTGCAGCATGCTGTTCTCTTTCATAGCCAGTGCTTAGCATCTCCACAAGAGGTCTAACAGCTTGCCTAGCAGGCTCGCTGTTCTTGATATGATCCGAGGAGAATGAGCTCTCCAATGCTTTAGCTGCACGGTATCTTGAGTTTCTTCCACCAAGACGTAGGACCGCAACAAGCTGATTGACAGCACCAAAAGCAGACTCATGTCTCCTTATTTCAGCATTGCTGAATAGAAGACCTAATAAGTCAGTAGCAGCCTCTTCTGCTGCTTCTTGCAGACCAAGTGAAAGATATCTAGTAATAGCCTCTAGAACCCCGGCTTCTGCCATTGCAAGCATGTTAGAAGGGCAATCTACTGCAAGCTGACTCAGAAGGCCCAATGCCAAGTATGGAGCGCCAGGTCTCTCAGGGATTGGTTTGAGTAAATCAACAATTGCAGGTATTGCTTTCAGAGAAGTCGTGCCAACCCTAATTTCTTCATCCTTGAACAATCTGTCTAGAGCCACGTGTTCTGGATTTCGAACCAAAAAGAAATCATCTGATAATTGTGAAAGCTCAGCTATATCAGTCTCAGCACAGCCAAGCAAGGATATAAGCCCAGAAGCAGCTCCAGAATTAGCAACAGCTAACAGAGTCTCTCTACTGCCATTACAGACAAGGCTGGACAATGCTTGTGCAGCAAAATATCTGCTTGCTGAATCCTCCGATTTCAGCATATTTTGAAGAATAGGAATAGTTTGCATTGTTGCATCAGACTGCATAATTTCTCTCTCTTCAAATAACAGAGCAAGAAGTAAAGCGCAAACCCACATGCTACTATCCTCATCCAAATCAACCTGCACAATTTTAAGTAGAGGTTAGAATGAGCACCAAGGTTGACAACCACACAGCCCAGCACTATATATAACCACAAACTGGAAAGAAACATGTAATAAAGAGACATTGCTAAGATACTCATTTATCTGTAAAAAAACATTAAACTCCAAATGAAAACAAAAGGCTTCATGTTGAGCTAAGATGCAACGAAAAGCCCCTAGTTTCCTAAGAGGAGGTAAGCAATACCTGTGTACTTAGCATGGACTGAGAAATCTTGTTGGTTATAGCATCAATAGCTCCAGCTTCAATCATTACAACCTTACTTCTCGTATCATGACAAGCGAGTTCAGAAAGTAACCAAGCAGCAATAATGTTACCTGTCACCACTCTGCTACCCTCATCCACTTCATATTGTCTATGAATACGGTGGATGCTTATTTCAATTGCATCGCTGTCCCTCAGATAAGAGGATGAGTTTGAAGGATTTAGCATTCCAATGAGAGAATGAATGAGATGATTGCGCAAGTTTGATTCCATTAAACCTTCTACCACCAACTGGCTATGCTCTTTTGCAGCACATATCAGAAGTGCATTTCCCCCAACTACAACTTTAGAATTATCAGAGCCAATAACCCGCCTTGCAATTGATGTGACACAGCCAGAATTTTCACCAATAGCAGAACCTACAATAGTGGGCCAGTCTCGACATAGTCTTGCAACAATTTCAATAGCTTTATCTTGAAGTGAGGGTGTTCCATTAGCTATACAGGAAACTAGAGGGGCTACTGAATAGGAGTTCTCCGCAAGGACTGCCCATGGAGGTTTCATGCAATTAGATGTTTCCTTTAATCTCAAAAGCAAGGAGAGCGCATCAAGAACTTCTGATGTTGCAGCAGCATCAATGCTGACAGATTCTAGAAGAGAAATGAGTGCAAGAACTGTCCCGGCACAATTTAACCTATCAAATAGTGTATTATCTAAAGAATGACACTGAAGAAGACGGGCAATTGCAGATGCTGCATGAGTTTTTCCATCAGTTGTGCCATCTCGCAGAATTCGTGTAACCGGTAATATAATCTCCTCAGGAGACGATCTCAGTGATATTTCGGTATCCAGAAGAAGATTAGCCAAAGCACAGGTTGCTTGTTCAGCCACTTCAAGATCTGAGGAATTAGCAAGCAGAGTTAATGGAGCCAATGCATCCCTAGCAACAGCAGCAACTTCCTTGTTGCGCTTGATTGAAAGAAAAATAGCAGCAAGACAGCATGAGGCCTCCTTCAAAATTTCATCGGAGTCCACGCTCAGCAGCTTCATCATTGACCAAAAGGTCTCCAATGCAATATAACTTTCCCTCAAGTCTTTGCGGTAGTGAAAAATCCCAGCAAGAGCTGATGCCGATTTAGCTTGAGTTTCTTCATTTATACTGCTCAAGATCTTTATCATTGTCTTAATTGCATCTTTTGCAGCACTTCCTTCATGTATAATTTCATTGAACGGTGCAACGGAAAGAATGCTTCTCAGTGCATCTAAAACATAGACCTTAGACTCTGGCTGCTCACTAGTTAATAGTGCAGAGAGCTGGCTAATTGTGCTCTTATCTGACTTGCGGATGAGATGGTTCAATGTGTTTGCTGCAATTCCTTTCCCACTCTCACTCCCGTTTTTCAGAAGCCACAACAAAGCAGGAACAGCATCAGCACTTTCAATGCATGCACGAATGTCATCACTGTGGTTGCAAAGGTTTCCAAGGATTCTTGCAGAATCTTCTTTAGCCTTTGAAGACCCTACTTCCAGAATTTGAACAAGTGGAGGTATGCCTCCAGCAGCAGTTATGGCCCATTTGCTTTCATCATTCTCATCAGATAGAAGGCAAAGAAGAGAGACCGAACATTCTTGTTGTTGTTCTGATGATAGTCCAAGAAGAGAAATCAACAACTGAACCCCTTCACGGCCTTTCAATGCATCCCACAGACTACATTCTTTGTTGCAAAGTGTAAGAAGAGACCTCATAAGCTCATCTTGCAACTCTCCAGTTGCCATGGTGATCAAACCAACAAGCAGACGCTTAGCCTCAGAGTTGGCAAGCATTGCTGAGAGAATAGCATTTCCGTACAAGCTGGCCAATGCTTCTATTGTCCTCTCCTGAACAAGAATTGATACTTTTGGTTTGAACTGCTTCACCAACATCTTCTCGATGGTGATGGGGTCTGAAGCCCTAGTAGAATCAGCACTGGTATCATATATCATCAGCGCTGAAGCTAAAGCACCAAGAGTATCAGCAATCTGAGTGGAGGAATTACATGACTCCAGGCTTTCACCAAGGCTAGAAATGACATTTGTCAATCCACCTGAGATGTTTGCCAGGGCACACATTGCATTTTCCTGCAATCCTTGGGCGGACTCCCCCTGCATAAACTCCTTAGATGGAGCTATAGTGGCATTAATTAATGCAGGGATCCCATTAGAACTAGCAATTTTCAGCCTTGCCTCCTTATTTTGTGCTGATAGAGACTTGAGGGCCCCTGCAGCCTCAGCTCTAATACTAATTTCATTACCAGGACCAAGTAGCTTGAGTAGTAGTCTTGTTGCATCAGCAGATAAAAACTTGGAACAGATGGATGCATCTTCTAACATCATACATGCAAGAAGGTAGCAAACATTTGCTAGGGTACTTGTGTTTCCTGTTGCAAGCAATTTTACAAGTGTATCCATGCCACCAGAGTCTACTGTTGCGTCCCAGAACCCATCTGTACTTTTAGATAGGTTCCTCAATGCTCCAGTAAGTAGAGTATCCACCGCACTTCCATTCTTAAGGCTATTGTTTATCTTGTCCCAAAGAACGGGAACTACTCCCTCGGTCGCAAAGATCTTTGATCCAACATGGTCCCTAGAGCCACCTTGGGACACAGAAAAAATAGTCTTTGCAGCTGCAACTTGACCTTCTTCTGAGCTAGATTTAAGAAGGGAAAGAAGTGGAGGGATGCAACCACCAAGTAGCACTTTTATCCTCAGTTCTTCTTCCTTACAAAGAGAGCCCAGAACAGCAGCAGCCTGCATCTTTACACCAAATGACCCTGACCTGAGGAGAGAAACAAGTATTGGAACTGCTTGGGAATGAGAACCAACAGCTCCCAAAGCAGTTCCCCTCGTTTCAACTAGATCAAGCAACTGCTTTAGTAAGTTCTCTTTCTCTTGAACTGATGAGGTACTCCTGCGTAGTTGTTCAATACATTGGGCAACGTTGGCTACTGTTCCATCTGGATCCTCCATACTGCACAAAAATTAAGTATTAAGTGCTGAGTGATCATAGTAACAACCCAGCCGGCCACTTGTTTGATGTTAAAGGTTCAAAAATCACTAGCATGCGGTGAGATGTCAATCAAAGAATTGGATCTGAATTTCCTTATAAAAAATCAATTAACAAACCAATTTATTGAGATAATAAGTTTATCTTGGTGGAAGAATGAAGAAACAATTATTCAGCTTTGTGTGGATAATAATGATACTGATCTTGATTATGCTACTTTTTCATTATATTCAACCTCACATGATAATCTAATGATATCAATCTATTCTGAAAATCATATTTTTCATAATATGCATGATATTTCTCTTCTTCTTTTGTTGAGTGTAAATAACAAGTTAAGCTTTGATACAACAAACTAGGTTTTCTACACTTCCTTCTGTTGCATGTTCCTGCCGTAATAACTTTTTTTTCCTCAAGAATTTTAGTCAAAGAAACCAATAAAAATAGCAACGTAAATCTCAGAATCCTCATAGTTGATTGTTTATATTGTAATCATCTGTACAGAAAATAGAACTGCATTTGAAAAAGCATAATCCCCAAGTGATCTTATTCAGATCTAATTCAATATCAACCATTCCATGAATACAGCAGTAAGAAAAGGACCGAATCCTCTACACTTATCTTGAAGATATATCAGTTTTATTTCAAAGAAATAATGAAAGTAGAAACTATAGAGGCAGCATTTATACTGCGTATGAGCTGTGGCAGCAGGCAAAAGTAAATCTGGCAGCACCTTGGAGGTGGTAGCAATGATCGTATACATATCAGTTTTAAATTGCTTTATAAGCCATTCCAAATGGATGGGAAGGTTGATGTTGAACATAAGCATACGATCTATGCTAAAAATATTTATAATTTAAGACGTTTGAACGACAAATATCAGCATCCACACCATTTAAGTGCCCCAGTTGGTTACAATCCCTAGTCAATGAGCTTGGCCAGTAATGACAAATATGCCTAAACTGAAAGATGTACACTTTGCTACATATTTCCAATAAGAATTTTATAGATAGTCAATTCTTTAATGCCAAAATACATTTCCTAGTTAGCTCATTAGCAGTAAAGGCTAGGAGCCCAAAATCCATGTAACAATGCAAGAATTTTTAATTTTCATGCAGTGCTCAAAATGCACAAATTCATTGGTTTTAACAGAGTGATATGAATCAAAAGCACACAATTAACTATTTTCAAATAGGTTATCTAAAAAGAAAAAGATTTTGTTTCCTTCTCCAATTGACGACAAAAGTAGAGAGCTTTAAAAAAATTTAAGAAAACATTTAGAATTCCACCTCGAATAGGTGAATACAGCTTTGACCAGATGCCTATGAAATCAGGTGAAACAGATTATTCACCCTAATGCACAACTTATGGATCCATATTGCATCTATCACCACAAGTACAAGATATTACACAATAATAAACAATATGCCAATATCTATCACCAACGGTACTAGCTAACACAGTAATAAACAATGCGCCTTTCGCCTTCACAAAGCCATGAAGAAATGTATTATATAAAGCAAGGTACGATCCAATATTATAACTCTCACACAGCTGAACGGACTAAACAGCCATCACAATGACAAGCTATACTGTCACCTAAGGTATTGCATGACACTCAAGGTTGGTAGATTCATCTGCAACTTATAACAAATGATCACATGCTAAATTTATATCATTTTTAAATCTCAGCTACATACAATGTTAAGTCCGACATCCAAATTTCACTAGCTCCTCGTAGCGACACAAGATGTAGTTGATATATGCGGCAACAATATCACCCAAAAGTTGTAGTGCTAGAACAGCAAGGAAGTGACCATTTTCTGAGTTGATTCAAGATTTTAATTTTACGATTGATATTGATTTTATATTAATATATAATGGCATAAACCTCTAGGTGATGACCAAATTTTAAGAATATATTTTGAGGCTTAAGGTGACTTCCAACATACAAACTACAAAAGAACTTAAGGATTTAGATCAGTTCTACAAGTATTATTGCTATACAGATCATCTTGACATCATTTAGTTAATTTTTACATAATTTGCTAATGACTAAATATCTTCACCTTGTAAATAGTACAAATCCTACAAGCACTTCAAAAAGCATAACGCAGAACAACAACAATGTTATCAGACTACCACTATTCACATGTAAAATGTATTTGTATACAGATGTATTATATGGGTTAATGTCGTGCTTAGCTTTGAAGGACCTAACATTTAAGATCAACATCTCAAGTAAGAATTGTATCTCACCTTGAGCCCACCTCCATGACAGAGTGGGGAGTCAATTATATGGGTTAATGTCGTGCTTAGCTTTGAAAGACCTAACATTTAAGATCAACATCTCAAGTAAGAATTGTATCTCACCTTGAGCCCACCTTCATGACAGAGTGGGGAGTCGAAGGTCCCTGTTCCTGAACTTTAAAATCCACATTACTCCCCTGCGATCATCAAAGAAAAAACAATATTAGACTGAGAAGACATCTACAAGAGAAAGCAGCCAGCTTCTTGAAAAGATAGTTTAGCATTGCAGACCACAAGAGCAGATTGTGAAACACTACCATTGCAGATTTTGTAAAATAATAATCTGTCATTCATCAATTTGAGAATAGATTATTAAATATAATTGTCTTGACTTATGTACTGCCAAACAATGCTTCATGTTTAAGTTCCTTCCACAGGTTTTACAGTCTTAGATCGTACAGTTTAGATGGGTTGGACTCTGAGCTTTTAAAAATCCCTGGTTCCATAAGCTGAACCTGGATCTGACCCAGACCTGGATGACGCCTGCTGATGGATGAGTATATGTCAGGAGGAAGACATAGTGTCTAAATACCGTTTACATGGACGCAACATGGACCCAGTCCAGTCACAAGTCCCATGTACTATATAGACTACTTGACCCCAACCCAGACTGGATTCATACCCAGTGGCGTACCAAAATTAAGTAAACTAAAGATATTTAAAACTATTTCATAGTTGACTTGGTTAAGTTTGGGTATGATGGACGAGGTAAAACATAGTTTTAGATATGAGGATATTTGAATTTTGTTGATCATTTTATTATCCTATTTGATGCTCACCAGATTAAAGTGTAAGGTTAGTAAGTATGTTGTCCGTATTCAAGAACTTGCTAAAGGGATAGACTCTCCATGTTGTTTGGGATTGTTATCCTTAGACTAGGCCTAGATTTGACTAGTACTTCCCTTGCATAAGACAACTCTATTTTAGTTTTTATACGCGTTGGATTTCTATTCGATGCACTTATCTAAGGTTTGCCTATTACCGTTGTTTTTCTTTACTCTGCAGACTCTTGATTGTGATAACATTTTTCTAACTTTGTTGACCCCACTCATTACGTGATGGAGAATTCAAAGCAAAATGTTGAATACCAGATACTCACAATAACCAACATGCATGAGTAAGATATATGCCGTGAAGTATATGTCATACATGTTACAACGAACACATATTTGATTCATGCCCCATATGGAACCAGTCCATAATAAGGTCTGGTCTGAGTCATCCAAGGCCGTGAATATTACACATGAGGGTCCAATGGTTCTCGGATCTGGTTAGATCCAATTGTAAAAGGCTAGCTGAGTTTTGACTGTTAAATCTGTTCACTAACTTAAACTCAGGCGGGCAGGTTAGATTTGTATCTAAGAACGATGAGAACAGAACTATATGACAGGTGACTCCGGTGCTGAGCTTAGATTATATAGACTACATAAAAGTAGTAGCACATCCAGATTCAATGAATATCCTGTGAGGAGCCTGGATCATGTACCCTTCACGTGTGAATTCATATTTTAGTCGGAACTCATTAAGTAGCATGGATTCAGCATGTCATAGGTCTCTTAATTTCTCATATAAATACAGAATTAGAAGTTTCCATGATCTTCACAATGAAGACAAACGAGAGGAAAGGGAACAATTGTCTACTATATTTAATTGATTATCACATCATGCATTTTCTATCCAATTGACCATTTTTTCTTGTTCTGCAGAAACTATTGAAGTGCAGAAAATCAGTCTATCTGAGTTCAATAGAAATGTATTAAAATGAAGCGTCAGTTTTCATTTTGTTTTTCAATATAGACAGAAAGCAGAAAGCATCAAGTATGAATTATCTTTCTCGTGGAGAATTTAATGTACATATCTCTGCAACATTTTACATATGCAACATTTGACACGAGCAGCTCCAAGAACTAGTGCAAGAAAGCCTTACACAAGGGTGTCATGCATTTATGACCGGGGTCAGTGGCTAGATATAATAATTGAAAAGATTAACTTACTCAAACACATAATGTTGTAAATTAAGCCAACTAGCAATCTTTTTACCTCATTCTCACTTTTGGTCACAGGGAACATCAGTTATCAATAGACTGTCATACCCAGGAGGAGTTAACAATGTCATTGGCAAACAATAAACAACACAAGAAACAATTAAGAAGCATCAACATAGTGCATAGAAATTAGTAAATAAATAGGTACATACCAGATCTCCAGCTCCATGGTTTCCTCCATTTGCGCCAGAATACCTCCAAGCAAGTGCTGCCGCCAGTTTTGCTCAATTCAAAGACCCACCCCCAAATCAAATTGAAATCTGTTCCGAGCTTTGCATTCAAACTGACCCTGACAAAAGATAGAGAAGCAAAACCCTGTTGACCATAATAAACACCATAATTCCAATTTCACCAACATACGGCTACAAAATTTGACTTATCAAACCATTCCTGTTGACATCTATTCATGGTTAAATTTTGTGAATAAATCCTCTTCCCTCCCAGAAATAAAAAGTTAAAAAACCTCAACAATTCGATGGACAACACTAGCAAACAGCAATTTCTTCAGTGCTGAATCCTCAACATCAACAATGCAGTTCGACAGATCTGAAGGCTACAAGCATGTTCCTGCATCTGTTAATAATAACTAATTGCTTGAAAACCGTATGCGAGAACATCTTAAGGACCACTCGTATACAATTACACAAAACATTACTGCATTTAACATAATTGGGAAGTTAAAACATAACCAATGTTTACTCTGCTATTCGTATGTCAGACAGACTGACGCAAACTTATAAACATATGCAAATCTTTTTTTCAGTCCAACTGACACAAAATTGGCGGCGGCGAAATGGATACCAAGATGGCAACTAAATCAAAATCCCTAATAATGAAACCAGAACCACACTACAGTTTTAGGCTACAAAGAATCAAGATCTTCAGATGACCAATCAGAACCCAGAATTCAATTATATATATATATAAAAAAGGTCCAAACTTGTATCAATTCACGAGCTGAAACAGATCGAATTCCCCATTTTTAGACCAGAAAAAAATGAAAGAAAAGCAAGAATTCGACGGAGCAGCACTGACCTCTGTCGAATTCAGCAGCAGAAGTCCAAACGGCGCCAAGTTTGTGAGAGAAAGAAGGGGGGGAGATTATTGGAAGGGGAGTTCCTCTCTCTCTCTCTCTCGCGTCAACAGCTCAGGATACATTTATCATTTTTACAGACTGTGTCCTTTCCTTTCTCATTTTCTAATAATTTGTGTAAATTGTTTTATATATAATAAATAATTCTATATCGAGAGTGTAGTGTTGTTGTTGGTGGAAGTGTCGGCGGACGATTGTGGGGGGTCGGTTATGGCCTGCGGGAGTAGAATAGCCTGCAGGGAAACGGCACAAAAGGCAGTTTGCTTGTCTCTTTCGGATCCCCAGCTTTCGTCACGTGTGCTGCACGTGTCATTTTTACTATGTGGGGACTGTTTTTAAGGTTTAATTCACAGAACCCGCTACGTTACTGGCGTTTGGTATGTAAGAGCATCTCCAACAGCTTCTCCAAAAATTTCTCCAAAATGGGGAATCAAATATCATATTCTCCAAATTATTTTTGCTCCAACTCCAACAGCTTCCCCATTTTGAAGAATCATGCATTTATTACAATAATAAAAATATTCTACATCTTTGACTAATAAATAATAAATTATTTATTATTTTGAAGAATCCCCATTTTGACCAAATTATTTATTATTATAATGAGGAGATGGAGTTGTTTTTGTGGGTTGAGTCTAGAAGAACGTGAAAAAGTGCTTCCCCAAATATTTGCAGAATGCTGCAGATTTGGGGAAGGCTCTCTATTTTTTCTCTCCTATCCCCATTTTGGGGAATGAGATGAGGAATCTGTTGGACCAAAAAAAAGCTCAAAATTCTCCAAATTTTAGAATACCAAGAAGATGGGGAAGCTGTTGGAGATGCTCTAACAACCTGAAACTTTTTTTTTTGCCTCGCAATGCGCTCCTAAACTTTGGGGTGTCTCACAAAATACCTTCAAATTTACAATTTTCTTATCCGACTCTCGACCTTTAATTGGCATATTAGATCACAATATCATTAAAAGAATAAACCACCAGTTGGGGGAAGAGAGGCACATTGGTAGTAAATAACAAATGACTAAAATTGAAGGTTTTTCTCTCGTGGACATTTTTGATTATTTGCTAACTATATGTAGGGAGATCTGGTGGCAAGAAAGGGGATGGAAAAGAAAAGGAGGAGGCTTGATAGAAAAGGAGGAAGAAAGGTGAAAGTGAATTGGATGAGAGAGAAGGGAGAAGATGCAGCGAATGAGGATAGATAAAGCTAGGGGCATGGTTGGTGGACGAGGGTGGAGGTACGGTTGAATAAGGAGGGTGGACGTGAGGTATGGTTGAATAAGTAGGGAGGAGGATGGACGTGAGGTATTTCGGGAGTTCGGATGAAAATTGAATAGAAATTATCCTAAAGTAATTTGTTGAAAACTAAGCCTAGCTACTTGTTATTCTATATAAAAAACATTTTAAAGATGTTTTGATACCAAAAAACTTAGAAGAATTGTGTCTAGGCCCCAAAATTTGAAATCTCATGTGACCAAACTCCTTAATTTTGGTTCATGTGCTTAGACAGTTTTACTTACATTTTATTGTGAAAAAGCCCTCTTTTAGTTGCCACCTCAGCAGAGAAATAAAAGAGCTTTTTTTATCCCCAAAGTATCCTCACCATCCATCTATAATATCTCATTTTTTTCTCACAAAGTCATGAATAATTTTTCCTCTTTCTCGTTAACCATCATCGCTTTTGCCACTACATCCATTCATTGCATCCTCCTTCTCTTTCTCCTTATCATTTTTAAACTATTATATTTTTTGCCACCATAATTTCTCATTTGTTATTTCTATTCTTTCTACAATCATCTCTCCTCCTCCTTTTCTAACAACTGTTGTTGTATCACTCGAAGACCATCTCCTTTGGTTAAACTGTCTATCTCCTAAAATCACGCAAAAGTTAACAATTAACAGTTAAATTTAACATCTAGAGTTAATTAACATCTAACATTTAAAGCTAACATGTATGGTCTAAATAAACATGAGATGTCTAAAGTTAACATGTCAGGTCTAAAATTAACATGTGATAAAGTTAATATCTAAAAATTTCAAACCTTTTATATTAATTTCTAAAACTAGATGCTAACTTTGGACCACACATATTAGCTTAGGCCTCACTTGTTGTTGATAGTTTAAATCACACAGGAAAAAAGAAGGTAATATGAACTAGGTTGGTATGGGGGCCGCACACTTTTTCGAATATCCGATTTGGAGTTGAGTTGTTTCCTACACGTGTAACAACTCGTAAGAGGATAGGGATCGGTTCCCCTGTTGTTCCTCCGACGATCAAGTCAGCTAGGTGCTTGAGTAGGAATATGAGAAAATGCAGCGGAATGGAGAAAAATGCTAAGAAATTACTTACCTTTGTATTTAGAATAGTTTTTTTTATAGTCATGCAAGAGGGGTATGAAAGTGCTCTGATACCAATTGAAAGCACTCTATTGCCACTAGGAAAGAACCCTAGAGGGGGGTGAATAGGGTTTATGCTAATCTAATCTGATTTATGCCAATTTAAAACTTATTAACAAATATCCTAGCAAGAATGATATACAATAAGATATATATGCAAGGATAAACAATATAAACAAGGGTGAAACAAGATAAACAAATACAAACAATATAGTGGATGAATTATACAAAAGAGAATGGTGATAGAGATAAGCAAGATGTAAGTGCACAAGCCAAACTCAAACACACAAGAAATGATCACGGAGTTCGGACCTTCCATCCTACGTCACCGCTCCCCACTCCCGGGGAGAAATCCACTATCACACCGGGTTTTCTACGCTTACCCGAAAAACGTTTACACCTCACACTTAGTTTTCCAGTTCACTAAAAACTTTACAATCACTCACAATGTAAACACACTAACTACTACCTCAAGTGTTGGTCTCTAGCCCGTGTGTCCCTCAAGTGTTAGGAATTACAACCTCTCTCTAGGTATTACCACCTACCCCACTCCTCTTAGGACGACCCCGTCTCTCACCACACACTCCTCTTGGTGTACTAGTGTAATACAAAGTGAACTTCACAATTAGGCACTCTAATACACTTCACACAATTGCAAATATACTTCACACCCTCTAAGTGTTGGTCTAGCCCGTATTACCTTCCTCAAGTGTTCGGAATTACCACCTCTCACTAGGCTTTACTACCGACCCCACTCCTCATGGAACCGACCCCGTCTCTTACCAATCACTTCTCTCGGTGTCCAAGTGTAATACAATGTGCAACTCATAATGAAGCTCGATACAACAAAATGTTCTCTAATATGGATGAGAACTCAATGTAAGCTCACACTCTAAGTCACAAACCCACAACCCAAATTATACTATGAATGTAAATACAATAAGCTTAATAGGTTGTGTGTGAAACAAAGAGTAAATAAATCAAACTAAACTCAAATAAATTCTAGCTTATAGAAATGAAAATAAAACAAAAAAAATAGCTAGATTGAGTTTAGGAAAACTTTTCTATATGATCAAGAGAGAGAGAGAGAGAGAGAGAGAGAGAGATGATTTGAAGCTCAAACACCAAAGGATGATCTCTTCTTCCTCTTGTAAAAATATATTCACAAACTTGAAACAAACACTAAACAAACTTTAAACACACTTTAAAAACTTTCTTCTTGGTAAATAGAACTGAGGATATGTGGGGATATTTATAGAAACCTCAAAGGCAAGAGAAAACAAGGCAAAAAGTCCAAAAACCTAAATCTGTAAAAGGCTAAAAAAAACTAGCTGTTACAGCATCAGTCGACTGACGGCTTTCATCAGTCGACTGATGAGCTGACCGTTAGAGGTGTTTTCCAGCTCATCAGTCGACTGACGGACCTTATCAGTCGACTGGTGACCTCATCAGTCGACTGGTCAGTCGACCAAAATAAAACATAAACTTTTTTAAATTGCAGGTATTTTCTTCAGTCGACTGATCGGTCGACTGATTGCATCAGTCGACTAACCAGTCGACTGATAACAAGTATACAGCCTGTTTAAAGCAGAAATCTGATTTTTAAACTGCTTTTAAAAATAGCAAACAATTCAGAAAAATGTAAAATTTTCGGGAATGCTTGTAAACATGATAATAAACATGTTACACTGGTTTTCAAAAAAGAACATCCCAAATGTGAAAACTCTTCATTTTACAAAATGGTTCAAAACATGTAAATGTGATACACTTTAAATTTGATGTTTTGACTTAAACCAAAGTTTTGAAAACTCTTGTATTGACTTTATAGACTTAGGAAAAGATGTAACATAGTATTATCAAGTCCATAAACCAAGAATATAATATTTTTTAAATATAATAGAATATGAAACATGAAAGTGTATATGAATATAACTATTGTTTCATATCTATATAGCTAAACCAGAACATATATGTATATATATTTATAACTATATATATACAAAAACCAAAACGTGAAAGTACTAACACACATAATATAAAAACCTAAACTAAATATACCCAAGCTTGATGAAGGTCTTCAATAAGCACGGCTTGGTAAACTTACGGATGAAGCTTGAACTTGAATCTTTAATATGAATTGCTATACTTCACTCCACTATTCCACCAACCTCTATTGGATATGATCGTTGAAGCTCAATTCCATCCATCCTCTAATATATTATTTGCCTAGAATAAATACAAAACACAAACACTAGACAAACAACATTAGATGTAAATTGTTTGTAAATCATCATCAAAACAAAAGGACCCAACAGGGTAGTCTAGTCTTTTTGGCCGAGCATGAGCTGATGGCTGAGTTAGCGTCTACTTTACAGGTATCGGTCGTAGAGCGATCACGGGATGGGCGCTATCACTTATGCATTAATGAGATGAGATAGGCTGCATACTAAGCCGGTGTGGTCCGATGTGTCATAAATAGTATCGGGGATAGAGAAATGATGGCACATGTAAAGTATTTAATCATGATGTCGCCATCACGTTAGCGGGGGGGGGGGGGTTTTTCGAGGTTGAAGTCATCCTTTTGTCTTGTAATAGGGGGTATCGAGAAATAACGCCTTTTGAGTCGACCCAATAAGGTGTCGAATAACTGGTCGAGTGGATTCGCGGTGAGTCATCTTTAATAAGAGGACCGATAAGTATCACCCTTCGAGTCGACCTAAGGAGACGCCGACTCGACGAGTTAACTAGGTCAAGATCCTGATAGTCTTTACGTCAATTTGATTGAACGGTGCATGTCGGGGGACACATG